AGTCTCCCTCCCCCTTTTTCCATTTGCCCCTCAGTAACATCTATTCAAACTATATAGGCAGTATTATATATACAAGAGTACATTAAATTGGGTGGGGGCAGTGGGAGGGAGTGTGTATGGGGGGGATCTAAATACCATCAAGCTATATTGTATGAAAATCACAAAAATTCAATTAAAAAATTAAATTATATAACAGTAACTGTTGAGGGGATGGAGAGATGGTCCAGTGGTTAAGAGCACTGACTGCCCTTGCAAGGACCCAAGTTCAGTCCCCAGCACCCACGTGGCTGCTAACAACCACGGGTAACTCCAGTTCCAGGAACTCTGATGCCCTCTGCATGCACGTGGTGCACATACAAACATGTAGGCACTCGTACACATAAAATAAAAATAGATAAATCTTTTAAAAAGTAACTGTTGGTGAATCTTACATGGACAGAGGATGTTTTCTGTTGAATACTGTTGCATGTCCATACCTACCAAAGCAGCAGAACGCTCTAAGAAAGCTCTTTGTAATCTTACAGACTCATTGCACACATTCACGACTTATTTTTAGGAAGATATTTTTCTGCTTTATAAAAAATGATGGTGACTCCCACCAAGGTCACATGTCTAAGGAAGGACAGAAAAGAAGCCTGAAGGATTGTGGATCCTGAAAGCTACTCCCCAAACCTCAACTTTCAGCAGTACTGACTTGTTTATCTCTAAATGAAGATATAAGCTTCTACAGAATCACTAGTGCTTGTGTTTCCACAGAGAATGCTTCTGCAGCCTTTGTTTCTGACTTAACAAAACAAGGCAGAGATAGGACTTTATGTTTAACAGTCTTTTTTTATAAATTTACATATGTCTATCATGTAAACTCTGAAGGCAAACTCTGAATTTAATGAATAAAAGACAACATTACTTTTTTAAAGTAATTTTAGTGTCAAATATAAGGTTATTTTATTAATAAATCCTAAATGCCATGTCAGTGAAATATTTGCAAAGATCTTCTCTCTTTAAAGTATATCCTTTTAAAATTTCTATGTCATAAAATAGTTTATTGGATTAGCATCCTAGGAAACAGAATTGTGATTCTTCAAAATTCAAATGAATTAATGTAATTATATGTGTATATATGAAATAAAAAATTGATATATGCTTAAATGTTATGTGTGTTTTATTTATTTGTTGTATGATACTAGGAATCAAACCTAGAACCTTTTTTCATGCAAGGCATGTACTCTATCGTGAGCTGTATCTTAGGTCCTTGAATATATTTCATAATATATAATAAATGTCTACCTTTGTATTCAGATCTCTGGATTGTAAGCAATATTTTACCTTCTCATTAGTTTACGCCTCTTTAAAATTCCTTACATTACTATCTTAGTTTTGTTTTTCCTTAAGGTGATAAAAAATACTCTGACAAAAGAAGTTTAAGGCAGACAGGGCTTATTTGGCTCAGAATTCCAGCTTTCAGTCCATCACTACAGGGAAGTCAACATGGCAGGAGCTTAAAGCAACTGGTCACATCATACTTACAGTTGAGGACAGAGAGCAGTGAAGGAATACCTGCAACTAGTGCTCAGCCGGCTCTCTCCTTTTCCTTCAGTCTAGGGCCTAGCCCAGGAACTGCAGCTGCCTGTATGTGCAGGGTGGGTCTTTCTACCTCAAACCAATTAAGAAATTTTTTACCAGGTATGCCGACAGGCCAACCTGTCATAGACTGTTTTTAATTGAGACTCCCTGTCCACATTCTAGATTGTGCCAAATTGACAATTAAAACTAACCATCACAAATACTAATTAGTGTATTTTAATTCTCTTAGAAAAACAAGACAATATATCCTTTTACTATATGATGTTACAATCATAAATCAGAAGCATATTTTCTAGAGTTTATATTTTTAAAAAAATGAGAGAAAGGCATATTTTTGTATAAAGATAATAAAATAACTCTGTTTTGGTAGGCTTCCTTGGAAAATCTTTGTGTGCCTGCTGTATGCACCAAAATTTTTCTTAAAGTATCAGCTACAGAAAAAAAATGATTTTAATAGTTTGAATTTTAATGTTGGAGGCAAAATGCCCACAATAGCTAATGCTTTGGCTGGATGCCTTAGATATTAGACTCACATGATCATGCAAGTGGTAGGATTGGATCTACCCGGTGAATGAACCAACAGTGAACAGATGTATTACTTTTCTCACTGCTGTGACCAAATACTTGACAAGAAGCAATTTAAGGGAAGAAGGGCCTATTCAAGCTTATAGTTCCAGGAGTTTATACCATCATGAGGGGTAGGGAATAAGTGGGGGAAGCTTGGGGAGACATGGCAACAGATTGGGAAATCCAGGGGACAGAAGCAGGAGGCTGGATGGTCACACTCCATCCACAGTCAAGAAGTAGCAAGAATAGGAAGTGGGGCCAGACTATAAAATCTCAAGATCCACCTTCAGTGACCAACCTACTTCATCCAGAAAGACAGAACTTCCTAAAGGTTTTGTAACCTTCCCAGAGCCACCAATTAGAGACCAAGTGTGCAATCAAACACATGAGCCTATGAAGAACAGTTCATATTCAAGCCACAATTATCAGACATTCACAGCCGCTGCCTGGACCACAGCAGCCACCTAGAAAGCACATTCCTCTAGGGAGGTAGTGGGCTGATGGATAATTATCTCACTCAATTTTCACTCCAACCTTTAGAGTTAGGTTTTACTAAACAAGTTTTTTAGATGAAGAAATGTCTTCTTGTAGTAGAGAGTAACAGAACAAAGCCATCATGTTTGAGGAAGTGGTACCAGGACACAACTTCTTTCACTCAGGTCATCCTAGTGTGCCCAATTGAAAGGCTTGGGGTGGATACAGGTTTTATTATTACTAGTATTATTATTATTATTATTATTATTATTATTATCGTGTGTATGTATGGTGTGTGTGTGTGTGTGTGTGTGTGTGTGTGTGTTGTGTAGAGGTGGGTACCTGTATGCCACTGTGTTCTTGTGCATGGAGGTCAGAGGACAAGAGGGCAACCCTGAGAATCAGTTCTCTCCTTCCTGGAGTGGATGTGTTTTTAACTTTTCTTAAATTTGGAGGGGGGTGGTGCAGAGAGGGCTGTAAGCATTTCACTTGAAAGCTAACACAGCAACTGTTAACTCTTAAATAATGATGTTCACATATGTGAGGATTACACTTCAGTTAAACAATAGTTCAATGATTAAATATCTCTGCATTGGTATTAATTAGCCATAAAAGATCTATTGCCAAGTCTGACATACAAACTGGAATTGAGATCGACCACATTTACTGTCATTTTCTATTTTTAGTTTCCTATGTATTTATACCAAGGGAAGCTCATGTGCAGTCTGGGAATATGCAGACCAATCCTTATTCTTTTTTTTTCTTGTTTGCAAGTCTGACACATTCTACAACAACATGGTTCATTCCATACATTTATGGTAACATGTTAACTGCATGCTCCAGACAAAAAACATTGTAGTGCAGGAAGGTATTAGAAACTATAATTTTTCCTTTCTAACTTCATTATCATTAAATAAGAGCCTTTGAATTTCCGATACAGCTTTAGATGTGTGTCCAACTTTTACAGAATTCTTATAAAGTCTTCAATAGAAAGAAGCCATTGTGAATCCCTTATCTCCAGCCATCTATGAACTGTTTTTCACGTGTAATCCATACATTGTTAGAAAATATTGGTAAAGGAATTTTGGAAAATAACACAACTGAAAATCTGTATAAGGAACAAATTGAGCATTTAGTAGTGATTTTTCTACTTTTCCTTTCCTATGAATGCTCATGAGCATAGCTTTTACCTGGTTTATTGCAGAGGTCATTGTAATCTAAAATGAATATGTTTTCAGGAGCTTCAGTCTTTTCCTTGTTCCCACATGTTATTAATTTTGATCCTGTATTAATATGTATAAGTTATGCATATCAATGAGGTTCAGCGAGATATTTCCACACATATATATAGTATGTACGAATCAGATCCAACCTCCAGAGCTTTATCCATCCTCCTCCTGCTATCTGAAAACAAGACAGAAAATATTTGCAAACAGCCTTCTTTGCTCTCACTCTGGTCCTTTACAGTGTTCAGACAGCAAGACTGGATGAAATTGCTCCTGTGCTGGGCAAATAATAGTGGTGTGTTTCCTGCAGACACTCCTGGGTGTAGGTCAAGGGAAGTTTCAATGACCACATTGAGCAGTGCAGGAATCCTGCACTTGACTTTTGCTTTGCACAAAGTGGATTCAGGCTGATAACATGGAATGAATGCTGTGATTGTAATAAAACCTGTGTGTAATGCTGTCGTACCTATGAGATGCATGTCCTATGTCCATGCAGTGGTCCCTCCCTTGACAGTAGCTTCTCATCTGTAATTTAAGGGAGTAGGGCTAGAATAATCTCTAAGGTCCCTCAGCTCTCTAATTCCAGGCTCTAGGATTCTTGGTGAGGATTCTTTGGGAATTAATTACTGTGCTGCTTCGTTATCCTCAATGATGTGGTTTCCTGAGGGCATCTTTACTGCTTGGAGATGGTGGGGGAGGGGTGTGTGAGATGAAATTTTAATTAAAAAAAATTTTTTTTGTCTTTTTGAAGCAGGGTTCCCTGTATCCCTGGCTGGAACTTACTATGTAGACCAAGCTGGCCTTGAACTAACGGAGATCTGCCTGCCTCTGCCTCCCAAATGTTGGGACTACCTACAGGCGTGTGCCACCACATTAGAAGAGCAAACCTGATGGTGGTCACCATACTTATAGATATTTTAATGGTGCTGATATTTAGACCAACCTGTATATAAAGAATACATAAGCGACCGTGCTAGTCCAGGAACCTAGGGAAATTTGCCATAACTGTGTTAAACGTTAGCAGAGTTATTTAAATGATGGCAGTCATCTGCATGTAGAGAGTGAACACAGGCCACTGTTGACATGAGCAGTAGCAATATGGACATGTTATCTTGCAGATATGTTGACCCTTTCTCTGATTTCTCACAGGGATTTCCAGGAAACACAAATGCAGACAGTGTGGTGCACTACAGACTCCAACCTCCCTTCCATGCCAGGTTCTTGCGCTTCCTCCCTTTAGCCTGGAACCCCAAGGGCAGGATTGGAATGAGGACTGAAGTGTATGGGTGTGCCTATAGTAAGTAGTTTGTTCCTCATGTGAAATCAACATCTTTGTGAGATGTTGTGAAAGCCAAAATGTCAATTTAATGTGACTCGCTCTGAACTTTTAAATAGTTGTAAAATTAAAACGAAGTTTTATGAAGAGACTTTTGTGGTCTCTTCATGATAATATGAACTTTATTGTTTTTATAGTTGAATTTAGAGGGGTTGGGAAGGCAGCTTGGAAGGTAAAGTGCTTGCTGTGAAAATATGAGGACCTGAGTTCAGATCCCCAGCATCACATAAAAGCTCGGTGTGACAGTACATTTCTGTAACCCCAGTGCTGTGGGTAGAGGGCAGGACAGATGGATCTCTGGAACTCACTACCAAGCCTGTCTAGCCAATTGGTGAGCTCCAGGTTCAATGAAGAGCTCTATTACAAAGAATGAGGTGGTGAGCAATAAGCAAGACACATGCTAGGTACTGATATGCATGCACCCATCTACATGAACATGTAATGCAACACATACATGGACACACACAAACACACACACACACACACACTCAACACACATACACGAAATTTAGAGGTAGACTTGAACCTAAACTCATTTGTCTTTAGATGTTTTTCAGAGTTTAATAAAATACTTATGACATCTTAGGCATTCAGTAAAGCGGATAAAAGTCAAACTAATACAAATGACACTGGTTTTCTGAAGCTTACATGGGTGGTCCTCAGTACTGGTGTTTGGGCTAATTTTTTGTGTAAGAGAACACGTTAGAGGCAGGCACATTCCAAAGCATGCCTAGTTAAACAGTACATTCTTGAGCATGCTCAGTTTAAGGGCATATTTAAAGAAGAAAAGATGATAGTCACAGTCTTAGGCATGCTTAACTCAAGGTCATGGAGCACGTATCTTGGTTCTAACCGTTTTATCAGTGTCACTGTGAACCCGTCAGCTCCACAGTACACAGCAGTTTCCCTTGATCTGCACTTGGTGGGAAGACATGTTTCTGTGCTAGCTTCTTTTATCATCTTTCAACTGTAATCAAAGTAAAGAGAATGGAGCAGACAGGAACACAACACAAGCATGAAAAGCAGGCATGAAATTATGTCATGACTCACGGCTGATTTGTTCTTATCCAACAATCCCCAATGTGCTCACCCTGTTTCTTCACATCATCATTAACATGTTTTAAATTATTGTCAAAATGGAACAAAATTTAAAACATGCACATGGACATTAACAGGCCTCACCAGTGTAACTGCATGGAGCCGATTTGCTACCAGTGGATGAAAGTTAGTGGTCCAGAAGTAGAGGATGAAAGATTCACAAGTACAACAATTCACCATGTTAGACAATGCTAAAGTTTTGGAAGAATATAAGCATACCTATAGGTAATCTTGCCCACCATCTTTTTGACAAAAGCTGAGCGTGCTCAGAATTCCTGTCTGCCATCTTTATTACCTAGCTGAGCTTGCCCAGTTCAACCAAGCTGAACGGTTCAGCACTTTTTCAAGGAAAGCTGAGCATTCCCATAGACATTTGTGTCCACCATCTTTTTGACAAATCTTGAGCATGCTGAGTGATATTCCCATCTGCCATCATATGTCCCTGCTGAGCACATCTAGAACCATTCCTCTCCGCCATCTTTTTGACACACCTGAGCATTCTCAGAGGCATTCCTTTCTGGCATCTTCATAAGCAAGCTAAGCATACACAGGTGTTCTTTTTCACTATTTTAATTTTTCCAAACATGTGTTCCATGACCTGAGTTAAGCATGGCTAAGATTGTGGCTATCATCTTTTATTCTTGAAATGTTTCCTTAAACTAAGCATGCACAGGAATGGACTGTTTAACTGAGCATGCTTTCGAATGTGTACGGACTTTCCCAGAAAATCCCCAGCCTTCCTATGTTCAAGGGCAGCGCTGATTTGGAAATCATTCCCATTCATTCCTTATCTGCTTCAAAAAATCTTTCTCTGAGTTTTAAAAATATTTTAATTGGCTAGAGATGCAAGTTGGTAGAGTACCTACCTAACATATAAAAGGCCCTGGGTTCAAACTCTAGTACAAGATAAATGGGGCATGGTGGCACAGGTCTCTAATCCCAGTATGTGGGAGATGAAGGCAGGAGGATTAGAAGTTCAAAGTCATCCTCAGCTGCATAGTGAATCTGAGATCAGTCTCAAAAATAAGTAAATAAATAAAAATATAAACTGTATTAAAAGTTAAAAATGTGCATGTGTGGAGCAAGAGAACAGTCCAAAGACTAGATGGGATGAAATGTCTCAGGCTCCTTAGGATCTGTTCAGTGGACCTCCTTCTCCCACTGTTTACATGTGATCACTCCCATTCTTTGCAAATCATAGCTTCCACCTTGTAGAATGTTATGTTCCTAAGGTACAATAATAATCTACCATCCACGGAGTATTTAATGTCTCAGTTTTATTATTAAACCTCTATACAACCCAATTAGCTTCTTAATTCTGCTGCTGTCTCTAATGTTAACATTCCATGGGGTATTAAATATAGTGGAGCTTCTTCACCATCAACTTCTTTTTTCTTTGTCCCATTGGTCCTTTCATCGCTGTGTTCTCTTGAATTGCTAACTGTGCCCACTGTTGCAGTGGCTATGATGTCCGATATTTAGAGTGTATCTTTGATGCTATAAAAGTAGCTTGTCTTCCCATTACTCTGAAACAACTTCAGATTTACTGACTTCAAAGCACAGCATGCTCTTTGATGGGGCTTCTCCTTCAGGAGGAGATATTTCTCCAGTTCATTGGGCTCAAGGTCGATACCAGAAGGATCAAAGCTCTGTGCCTGATCGTAAGCAGGGCCAGGGACTGTATCCAACTGTCACGGAGTGTATAGGGACTGATAGTGTCTGCAAACATAAGTCGTGGGGTATAAGTAACAATGGCAAAATTAAAAATGCACACAGATCATATATTAACCACTTCTGAGATCATATATTCACCACTACTAACAAACTCAAAGTACCTTCTGTAGAAAGAGTCTCTAAATTGTTCTTTATTTTCTTAGAATTATTGTCCAGGTATATTTTTAATTTATTTTAACAGTAGTATAGTATCTTATGGTTTGTGTTAATAAGAGTGTTTCTGCATGTTTTCATTTGTATTTCCAGTGCCCTATTTTTAGTTATAACTTTGCTCATCAAGTTGGTTAGCGGCATTATGGGTTCTTACAGATTCTTAGCAGCATCATTTTCCGGACTTCATTTTCACATTAGGTTGGAGGTTGGGGTGGCTACAAGGATTATAACTCTACACCTGCACAGTCAACCGATGTGGACCAGGAGACCCTCCTCAGCACCAGTGTGTTCTGGTTTCCAGGCACCTTTGCATTCTTCATTTGTACCACCCTGGAGAGGTTAACATTAATCCTCAGATCTGTTCAGGGCTTTGTTCTTATCCCCCTCCCTCCCACTGAGCTTCCTATCCACGTCCTTAATTTTTGATGGCACTTATACCCTGGCCACACTTCTGGATATCTCTTCTCAACTCAGATTTGAGGAGTTCCAATCCCAACTCACCTTTCATAGAGCACCTCTCCTCCCTGAGCCTGTGAACACTTAAAGTCAACTGTCCGAAATAGACTTATTATCTTCTCCTCTCTTCTAAAAATGACTCGTTTTTTATCATATTCTATCTCACAAAGTGATACCCATAGCCATCCACTGACTCAAGCCTGTGCCTACCTTTTAAATATGCGTTGAATCTTTCCATCACTCTTTCCAGATGACAGAGTTGAAGTTACCTTTAGCCTGCATTAAGCCATAATTTCTAAGGAAATACAGAAAATAACAACTCAAGGATATAAACTATTTCTGTCTTGGCTTTTCAGAGTTCATGCTTGCCAAGAGGCTGAAGGAGACAACCCTTTGCTTGTGGTTTCTTAGGCCAAATGCCTGTTTACAGAAGCATCAGTGAGTGCAGCAGAGCTCCACGCAGGATCTTAGTCCTCCTCTCCATAGTGCGTTTCTTGATCCATTGCCTGCTGCATTTTTGCCTTCCATCAAGCACATAATGCTTGTTCTGTGACTGTCTACATGAATGAGGACGCAGGACAGATTTTTAGTGAAATTGCTTCTGGCACAGTCCTTCCCAGGCATACTAATGTTGTCTGTTATGAAGTTCTTTATCTTAAAAGAATTAATATTTGAGGGCATTTGAACACTGCCTCTAGATATTTTCTGATATTCTTTGGGAGAAGTGATACAATGCTATAATTGCACCTGTAACCTCCAAATATCATTTCTCAACTCACTGTCCACTAACATGAGAAAGTGAGATAGACACACTTCTGAGTGTATGGATTGAAGGGAGAACCCTGGGAAGAAGATGGTCAGCCAGGAAGGAGCCACAAAGATAGATACAGATACTTACAAATCTCAGCCTTATTAAGTCAGGTCTCACTACGTGATTTGAACATTGAATATTTCTTGCACAGCTCAAAAAGTGAAATTTCCTATCATCTGTGTGTACACATGCATACACACTTGTGCACACATGTGGGTATGTGAGCATATGTGTATGTGTTGTGTGTAGAAACAAGAAACCAACATCGAGTCGCCTTCAGATCCTCTCTACCTTATGTTTTGAGGAAGTGTTTCTCATTGAACCTGGAGCTACCTGATTCAGCTCTTCTGGGTGCCCAGTGAGCCTCAGGGATCCTAGTTTCTGCCTCCCTAGAGTTGGGATTGCAGGCATGTACGACCACATCCAGCTTTTACTTATGAGCTGGAATACAAACTCAGGTCCTTATGCTTCCTCAGCTTGAAATTTGTTACCACCTTGAGCTGTTCACTTTTCTCAAAATCCTCTGTGTCCTGTCTTAAATTAATTTTTACCTTTTCTCTGCATAGTGCTTTAATAATCAGAATGAGGCAGATAGCCACTGAGGGCTCCCAGCACCAAGCACTGCTGTAAAATCATCAGGAGGCCAGACCAATGATCTCTATATAGACCAACTAGGCTCCAGGGGATGAATTTGCACTGAAGGACATCTGGGTACAACAAATGCTTGACTGGATAGGACTTAACATGTATAGTGGAATACATAAGGTCCAGTGGGGGTTGAGGGACATGGATAGGGGAGGGGGTCTAAATTTGATTAGAACTGTTGAATGAAATGTACAAAAGTTCAACTAAAAATTGTGAAAAAAAATAAGGTGGAGAGCAATTGAGGAAGAGACCTGAGGTTGACCTCCACATGTGTCAACACAGGAGTCTACCCACACAGACACTTGGATGTATATATGAACACATGTATACATACATGCACACACACACACAGAGAGCACAACAGAAATTAACTCTCTTAATTCGATGTGTATATGAACACGTGTATACATACATGCGTGCACACACACATGCACACACACAGCACAACAGAAATTAACTCTTAATTCTTATGACAGCCTTGTGAGAGAGGTATATTTTAGTAGTGCCTTACATATAGGGAAACTGAGGCCCAAAGAAGATGTGTAACCTATTCAAGATGGACTGCTTGCAGAGTAATACTGGAGTCCTTTCTCTGAGCTACTCTATATTATGGTATGCATTGAAAAAAATGTTGTTACGGGGACTATACCAAAAGAGTCTGAATATATAAGCACAGATTTAGTCTCCGTAAGTAGGAAAATCTAGCTCCTGACCTAATAGTGATGGACTAGGATGTAAGAGAATTTATGTTGTAAATAATATTGGTTCAACAATCAAAACCATCCCCTCTGTTAATCATGTTAGTCGTTGTAAACTAAGTTCATATAAAATGAGACAAGACCTTCCTAATTTAAACCAAGAGCTAAAATTTCTGCATTCATTTGGGATGGCAGATCCTCTATTCTGAAATTTTGAGGTAATTTTCAAGTAACTTTTCATATTTCATAGTTATATAATTAGATTTTACACAAAGAATTATGTCCTCAAGATTTCTGATGAAATCATGTAAAAATATGATACTGAGTGCTATTATGTTAGTGCTTAGTACAAAAATATATTGTGATGGAATATATATATATATATGATTATGACCATAAAATTTTTCTTTGTGCTTCTAAGTTTGAAACGTCTAGAAATATGACTTTGGTGAAAAAGTGAGGAAAGAGTTTACTCAAAGGGCCACTTCTGAGCCCCAAGACTTCAAAGCTTCCCCCCTTCCCCAGTGGGTGATTATATACATTAGAGAGAAGGCATGAGAATTTTTTCTCTTTGGGGAAAGCTAATTGCTACTTAGAGAGATGTTCTCTTTCCCAAACACGATTTTTGCTTTAATTTTGTGTTATCATGTATTTAGTCCATAAATTAGAGTTCTATGCTACTTGCTGTTATTAAACTTGAATGAATTACTTGTTAATTTGTTCTCATTAGCATCTACATAACGGGTTAAGAGCATTTTGAGATACAAGCCTTCATGGCAACAAGGAGAAGTCCAGTCTGTGCCAGAAGGAACAAGAGCTTCCAGGCCACTGTTCTAGGGCTCCTTTCCTTGAGAGCATTATTATTTCCTTTCCTACTCTATTTGCCTAAGGAAAATAGTCCAGGAAATATATTTCTCACATCGTAGAAGAAAACATGCTGTTGCAAAATAACAGTAGTCACGGTGAGACTGAGCAGAGCCGCACAGAGCAGCAGAGCGAGCTGATCCCAGCAAGGCCTTTCTCAGGAACAAAACCTTTTCCTACCCAACTTCTAAAAGGCTCCAATGCAGCACATTCTGAAGATAAAATGAAAACAGAGATAATGATGTTATCAAAATGTGAAAATCCTTGCTCAGCCTTCTTGAAGTTTCCAAGCTTCCATTAGCTGATTGTCATCTTATAATTGCAGATGGCTTCATTTGGATTTCAGAGTTTTGCTTCTTAATCATGCATATGGAATGAACACTATAACAAGGAAAAATTGATTAGTTAACATGTATTTTACAGAGTGCAGTAAGATGTATTCATTATATTAATTGATACATTAATTCCTCAAATGTATACTAAGCCAATGTGAGAAAATGAGATTTCTAAATTTTCAGCTAATAGCTGTGTAAAATTGATGACTGGGGCGATTTGTCACATTTATGTTGCATGTTCTGGATGAAATGAATGACTGTACCAAAGAACAGCAGTGATGCATATTTGGAATCAATATGAGACTATCATGTTGGCTTGAGTCCAGCTCCAAATGGCTTTATATTTTACAGTGGGCTCTTTGTACAACTTCATTTATTAAACAAATATATTTTTCCAAAGACCATTATTTCTTTCTCTTTTTTTAACTTTTGAAAACAATAATGGTTTTTCCTGGGTAAATTTAATTTCTTTGTGTCCACTGTTCAATTTTCATCTGATTCTCACAGATGTTCTTTCTATTATTTATAAAACGCACTTGGTTTTTCAGGAACCTGAATGCTTTGACCTTTACGGTGAAATTGAAAGACACTGTCAGAGAGAAAATGTCAGAATTATAGTTCTGATAGGCTGAAGCAGGAAGGCCCAAAATAGTGCTATTGAAGTTGAGCTCTCTGCAAAGTCCTGAGTAATCACAACACCAGCAAAATGTCTGCCTTCCTTAGTCAATGTTCTCCAGAGAGGCAGAATGAGAAGGGTGTGTGTGTGTGTGTGTGTGTGTGTGTGTGTGTGTGTGTGTGTGTCTGTCTGTCTGTCTGTGTGTGCGTCTGTGTCTGTCTGTGTGTCTATGTGTGTGTGTGTGTCTGCATCTGTGTTTCTATGTGTGTGTGTGTGTCTGTGTGTCTATGTGTCTGTGTGTGTGTGTCTTCTACAAACATAAAAATCTTTACCAAAGGGTGGTTCCTGTGTAAGAATCAAGAGAAGTCAAAGACTGAAGCTGATATTTAATATAAGAATTACATTAAAATTAAAATTAATGTAACAGGGATGCAACATCTTCATGTTTCCTGATTTTTAAAGATTTTTTTGAAATAGGTCTTACTGTGTAGCCCAGGCTGACCTATAACTCACAACCCTCCTGCCCCCTCCAGGGTCCTGGCATCATAGGCACAACCACACCCTTCCCAATTTTATTTAACAAACAGAACAAGAGGAAGTAGCCACTATAATAGAGCATAGGTCGGCAAATTATTTCTAGATGATGAAGTTGTGAAGACTCTAGCTGTGTTTTCGGTTTATCAACTCCACATAGGACACCAAAAGAAAATACGTTATTGACAGATTTCCCTAGAAATGCAATCTGTATTCATATCTATGTCTGTTAGGGTACGTTAAGTCATATTTTTGTATTCATCATTTTTATACATTACTGCTATTTAATATCCTCTTTCCTAGGATCGGAGGTAGCTTATTTTGATGGACAAAGTGCTCTACATTACAAATTTGAAAAAGAATCCATAAGACCAACCAGAGATGTTATTTCTTTGAAATTCAAAGCCATGCAGAGCAGTGGACTTATACTCCATGGAGAAGGACAGCATGGAAACCATGTTACTTTGGAATTAATCAAAGGAAAGCTTGTCTTTTATCTTAATTCAGGTAAAAAGTATTTTCACTTAAGCAATCTGTTTAGATGAAAATACATCTGTTGGTACTTAATCCTTTCAGCGAGGTGAAGGAACCATATAATTTATCATCTCAGCCAGAATACCTCTGAGAATTAAAGAAGCAACTCTGTAGCTACTCTGGAATAATGAATGCAAAGTAAAACATTATGAGAAAATGCAAACAAAAGTTCAACAGCACTGCTAATGGATTCATATGGCACATATGTATCTCTAATATGAGATGTATGCAAACAGCATATATTTTGACACCTGTGTAATGCCATTATAAGTGCACTATGTAATACATGACATATGATGATATCCAGTCAAACAGATAAGAAAGAAGCACTGTGAAATTATCAGTCTTTTAAAAGGATTTATTTGTCTTATTTTTAATTATGTGTATGTATGTGTGTCTATATGTGCATGTGACTTATAGGTGCCTGTGAAAGCTAGAAGAGAGTGTCTGATACCCTAGGGCTGCAGTTACAGGTGGTTATGAACCTCCAAACATGGGTGATGGGAACTGAACTGGGGTCTTCTGGGAGAATAGTATGTGCTCTTAACCACTGAACCATTTCCAGCCTTGGATTGTCCTGAAAATGAGGTTTCTGCAAAGAAAAGTTCACAAGATAAATATGAATTCCCTAGATAGCAAAAATAAATATATCTTGGGGTTGTGAAGAGGATACAGTGGTTAAGAGTGTCTACTACTCCTCCAGAGGACCTGAGTTCAGCACTTACAACAGCTCATAACCACCTGTAACTTCAGCTCCATGAACTCTGACTTCCTCTTTTGACCTCTGGGACAACTATACTCACATGCACATGCCCCTAAATAGACACACACACATATAATTTAAAATAAAATTAGAATTTTAAAAAATAAATAAATCACTAAAAGAGTAATTTCAACAACATGTAAAAATTAATAAAAAATAAATCATTAAAAAACCTTAATGATATTATGTTCAAGATGAAGAGAAAGTAGGGTAGCCCATACACAGGATGGACAGATATAAATTATAGCTCTGGGTTTTCTGAGGGAAAGCATGATTATTAAAGAACTAACTTGATGTTTTTCTTTTTTCTTTTAAGGCAATGGTAACCTACCTCCCACTAGCGGTCACATGAACATCTCCCTGGGCAGCCTGTTGGATGACCAGCACTGGCATTCCGTGCTCATTGAACTACTCAACACACGAGTGAACGTCACCTTGGACAAACACATGCACCATGTCCATGTGAACAGGGAAGCTAGTTACTTGGATCTTAATTTTGAGGTTACTAGATGTTATATAATTTAATTACAATTATAATATAAAGAAATGAATTTTACTGAGAAATACCACTTAGCAATGCAGAACTAGGTTACTGATAACATAATGTGGTAGTAGGTACATGCAGGTAATGCTAAACTGTGTATTTATTCTACTTTACTCTTATAGTGCCCCTTCCACATGAGAGGACCTGGCAGGTCATCATGTTAGGATTGGGAGATTTTCTACAAATGAAGAAATTTTGAGGCAGAAAAAAATCACATTAAATATTTTCCTTTAAATTTCATCTGGTTTATTGAATTTATTGACATGAACAGATTCCTAATGAATGGTGTAATCACAACCAACATAACGCTGTCTAGATAACTCTGAGGATTTAACCACATATAACCAACAGCTTGATTATATAACAAGAGAATCAAATGGGGTTTCATTTGGGGGGAACAATGCTTTTCTAATATGTATCTAAACCATACTGGTAAATAACATGTATCCAGATCTTTGCAGGAGACTTTTAAGTGTTGGAAGAGTCAGAGCAAACCAGGAAAGTTGTGACTTTTATCAGACATAAACAGTTTTGGCATATAACATCTTCAGAAGACCCTGGACCCCTGCCATATTACAGACAGTTTGATTACCTTCACTTACTGTCCTGACAAGAGCGTACCCCGTAGAGAGGCTGTCATTTTATGGGTCTCATGCTAAACCTTACACTTAAAAACTTGATTAAAAATAACCTGGTTTTGACTTTTTAAATTTTATTGGAATACATAGCAATTGTTTTAAAAAATACAAGTCGTATTTGCTGTTCTCATGGTATAATGATATCATTAAGTGATACAAAAGTGATCATTAAATTCACAAAATCCCCAGGTACAAAATGGTCTCTTCCTTATGTTTATATCTGGTGCCAGAAATCAGGCTATCAAAACACACCATGATATTTGTTCATATAAGATAGACAAAACTGGAAATATACAGTGAGGAGAAAGGATCCGTGACAGTTAGTAGCACACCTTTTTATCGTAAATGGTTCAAAAAGATAACCAGAAAGTTACTAAGCAATGTTATTTATGCCCCATTTTTCTTTCTAAGATCAGCTTTGGAGGAGTTTGGATACCTGGGGGATCACTGGCATTCCCACGTAGACATTTTCATGGATGCTTAGAAAATATTTATTATAATGGAGTGGATATTATTGAATTAGCCAAGAAACACAAACCACAGGTCCTCATTAAGGTAAGGAACCCTAAAAATGAAGGAAAGAGAAAAGGAATTGTTATCACCTTTTTGTACTTAAAAAATATTCCAGGCTGGAGAGATGGTTCAATGGATAAAGAAGGTGCTTGCTGTGCAAGCATAAGGGTCAAAGTTTGAATTCCTAGAACACAGGTAAAAATTGGGTGTGGTGCTGCATGCCTGTAACCCTAGCACTGGGGGATGGAGACAGGTAGATCCTGGGGGCAGACCAACAAGGCTAGCTAAAATGGCTGGCTCCAGGTTCAGTCAGAGACCCCCATCTCAAAAAGTGAGCTGGAGAAGTGATTGAAGAAAATATTATGTCAATTTCTGGTCTCCACACGTACTTTACCTGTATTCATACACACGTGCACTCATACATATATCACACAGAGAAACAGAGAGAGAAACAGAGAGAGACACCAAGAGAACTATTCTTTTTAGGTCTCCATCTGATACAATATTTTTAAATCAGCTCATAGTTTTGAACAGCCGCCATGTAATATAACATTTTTTATTACTCATAAAAAGTTAGAAAGCAGGGCTGGAGTGATGACTCAGCAATTAAGAGCACATATTGTTCTTGCAAAGGACCCAAGTTCAGTTCCCAGCTCACAACCACCTATGAGTACAGCTCCAGGGGATCCAACAGCCTCTTCTGGCATCCATGGGCATCTGCACTCATGTGTACATTCCCACACAGAGACATACACACATACATGTAATCAAACAAAATAAATTGAGAGAGAGAAAGAGAGAGAGAGAGAGAGAGAGAGAGAGAGAGAGAGAGAGAGAACAAATACACCTCATGGGGCATGGTTATTTCATTTTAATATAAATTAAAATAACATCTTGTTTTTGCATGGAGGTTAGAATTCATATGTCTCGTGAGTTTGGGGTATTATTCTCAGGAACCCAATTATTTTGCAATGAGAATCCCTAATGGCCTATTTCCTAATCAACTAGAAATGCTTCCACATAAAAAATTTATAAACTTTTTTTCATGAAATTAAAAAATCCAAGTTTTGGGTTATAGGGCAAGTTCTTGCTTAGTATCAGCATCATTACAGTCACACTGAACTGTTTTTTTTTTTTTTTTAAGTTTTCTTTCTTGTTACATGGTGCAGTGAGTTGGCATATAGGTTGAAAATGTCTTTGGCTGTGGATCAACAGGCCACAAAATGAATACATCACTTGGGTTAGTGCATGATAAAGGTTTAGAATAACTGTGGGACCACAAATCTTCCAAGAAGGTTAATAGGAAAAATAAATAAGTCTGAAACTTACAAACAGCACTATGCTGAGATAATCTAGATGATAAACATCATGGAGAAATGTCAGAGGGAAAAGTAGTAAGAAGGCACCACAGGCAGCACGTACCTGGGACAAGATTAAAAGTAAACTAAAGGGGGTGATAAGATGGCTCAGCAAGTAAGGGTGTTGGCTATGTGAACATGAGGACCTGAGTTCAATCCCTGAATTCCTCATGGTGGAAGAAGAGAACTGTAAGTTGTTCTCTGACCTCTAGATGGGCCCCATGGGACATGTGTCCATGAACATGTGAACACACTAAATTAATGTAAGAAATAAGAAATAAAAATAAAAAGTAAATGAAGGGGCTAGATGATGGCTCAGTTGGGAAAGCATGTGCCACACAAGCATGAAAACCTGAATTTGATCCCGGGAGCCCATGTAAAAAGCCGGGCACAATGGTACTTGCCTATAATCCCACAGTTGGGAAAGCAAATGCAGGAGAATCCCTGGGGTTTGATGGCCAGTCAGCCTAGCTGAATTAGTGAATTCTAGGTTAGGTGAGAGAACATTTCTTAAAAAATAAGATAGAGAGCAATTGAGGAAGATACTGATTGTTGACTCTGTTCTCCATTTGCACACAGACACGTATATGCACACACACACACACACACACACACACACACACACAGTAAACAAGCAAACAATAAATAAATCATAGGTAAAAAGAACTAATGCAGATACAGAAGCAAATAAACGAGGGAGGAGGTAAATGAATCCACACTCTACCTAAAGTTCCTGTCCAAGAAGAAACTGAAATGCGGTGTTTCTGGAACAGAAAGAAGAGAACCGGTTATGGAAGAGAGCTCACTGGAAGCGCCCTACTCAGAAGCTGTCTATACACAAGCCAACATTTGGCCAATGGGCATCTCCATCAGTATGCCTCAGGCAACACTTTCCAAACCCAAAGTCACCTTTTCAGTTTCCAGTCTTATTGTAAAGAAAAATTTCTCCTGGATCTTAACCTCTCTAGAGCTGTTAACTAGAGTATTCTTATTAAGGGAAATGAAATGAATAAGAAGGAAAATAAACACCATTTTCCCTATAAATTTCCTTCTATTCTGGATTGTTTATGGATTTATTGATAGTATTTATTATAGCCAATCGGAAAAGCTGCAATTGTCCTAACATCTCCGGGGTCCTAAATATCCCTGAGTAAAATGACTTACCAACTATATTGTATAGAGATTTGTGGTGTATAAGCTTTATCTGAAAAGGAAGAGAGAATTCTTTCCAAATTTTGCTGGAGACTATAAATGTTAACTACAAGAATTCTAGTCTGAGAGTTATTTCTGTTTTATGTACTCATTATGAAAATAGAAAAACAGTTGCTTCAATCAAGGGAAAATATTTCACAATTTGGCAAAACCAGTTTGCAGAATTGGTTCATTCAACAATCATTCATCTGAGGCAAGAAGCTTCTCTTCTTTGTTGAAGAAGCCCATAGTACATCTGAACAAGGAGGTGGAGTGTTCTGGAACAAGCTGATTCCAATATATAAGAACCAGATCCACAGAGCTGTGCAGCTAAAGAAGGAAGTGGACAGATCCTGGGGTTGTTGAAATGCAGCTTATTGGGGGCTTGCAGGCAGAAGTGTGGTTATGGGTAGCAGTAAGACCAAGCAGGTCCTGCAACTGGAGTCACGAGAGGGGTAGATATTGGTTAGGCCAAATATGACCCTATCACAGTCAGGATGCATCTTGTTTATCTTGACCTAGCACCACAGAACCTGGCACATCCTGGACACCAGTGATGAGCTTGAAGCTCTGCATGCCCTGTTAATACCTTTGTGTGTTTATGGCTTGTTGGGAGATTGTTCAGGGTTACTCTGGGTACATCATAGCTGTTATATCTCAAGATAGCTGCACTCAAGTCAAACTCGATGATTCAGTCACAAAATTTGCAACTAATTTTAAAAAACAGAACAATCAAACGATTAAATTTATACCATGGAGAAGTGTATCTTACTGTTAATCTTTTCATATTTAATTCATTAAAACAAATGTTTTGCTACAATGAATTTTTTTCACATTAGGCAGAATTTTAAAAAATATTACATTTATTGTGTGGATATGTGTGTGGGTACACATGTGTGGAAAGAAGTCAGAGAACAACTTGTGAGAGCTGGTTCTCTCCTTCCACCATATGGGAACCAAGTATCAAACTCAGGTTATCAGGCTTGGTAACAGGAGTCTTTGCATGCTGAACCATCTCACCAACCCACAGCAGGATTTTTTTAAGAAGCCAAGAATGAATGTTCTAGATATATATTCATATATAGTTATAATATACATTAAAGACTATTTTAAAATGAAAACTCATTTATGTTAGTTCCTGAAATACATTAGGACATTTTTTTAAAAAAATATGATTCTGTCTTAAAAAGGACTGAAATTCCTGGATCAGTGTTCTTAACTTAGGCTTTACCTTGAAGGAATTGAGATTAAAGACATCATGACCCAAATCCACCCCTGGAGATGTAGATTTAATTGGTTTGGCTGTGGGCTTTTAGCAGTCCTCTGGTGACATGACTGGTCAGCAGGTTTTGAACCACTACCCTAGCTTATCTTCCTTGCATTAGTAAAGCTTTTTCTCTACAGTCATATGTGGTATATTAATAGAAACAATTCAAAGAAAATCCCATTAGAATCAGAACTGCTGGAGTTTTCCCTTTGAACAAAAATTCATATATATGAATAAATACTCAAGTATTGTCCCTTCTACCACCTAAAATAGAAATCAAAAACAAATACATAAAGAGAAACAATAGTCTGGCCTTTGCTAGATATTAAAATATGCTAAAAGCCACTGTACTAAAATCAGCATATGGTTGGATAGGAAGAGGAACCTTGGTGGAAGAAAGCAGAGATTCCAGGAAAATCCAGTGCCTGTGCAGAGTCGTTCTGACAAGGTGTATGGCTGCTTCAGTGAACAGTGGGCAGATCATCCCATAAGCTCTCCTGGAACAAATGGGTGTCCATAACTCAGAAAGTAACCTGTATCACTATTTTATACACATCAGAACTATGAAAATTCAGAAGAGTGGAAAATAAATGGCAACGACAACAATTTTTGTAAGAAAATTTTCAGGACCCTGTATAGACCCTAAAGGAGGGGACAGTGGTGATGAGGCTTCCTTAATGAACTCAGAAGCTGTATATGAAAATGTGGGTGACTATATAACGTTTTCATGCTAAATATCTCATGCTAAAATTTTTCATGTAGCAATATTTTCATGCTAAAAATACTGTAGGAAATTTATACAACTGCTACATGTGGAAAACATTTTGAAACTTTCAATATATAATTTTCTAAATACTAAAAATATAACCCACAGAAATATCAAATAAGCTTGTGTTAAAGATCAATCAATCTGTCATTAATGAGAAAATCAGTGAAATAGTAGAGCTGGTCTAAAGCAGATTCTGAGCAACGTAACTCAGGAAACACCAAATGCTGCTCAGATGGACCGTTTGAGAGTGTGGAGCTGTCCTTAGGCCTGGCAGCAGGACTAGAAAATCAACAACAGAACAAACTCCTATTGAATTAGCTTGTACTGAGATGCCTTTGCTAATGTGGAAAAGTGGAGAATTTTACCCAAAAAAGCCACAGGGAGAGTTGGCCTGGTCATACCAATGCTTAATTGAAAGGTAAATGTCATAGATTTAAACGTTATAATTTATAAATCAAATTAATTTATAGAACTCAGGTTTGAAAGCCCTGTACACATCTTTTCCAAATCTGTCCTCAGCATAAGTGCCATGACAAGGCGTTTCAACCTACTCTTTTGTTTTGTTTCTAGGGAAATGTCTCCTTCTTCTGCCCACAACCACAGACCGTTCCTGTGACTTTTCTGAATTCTGGGAGTTACCTGGCTCTGCCAGGCAGTTTGGGAGAGGATAAAATATCCGTCACTTTTCAGTTTCGAACATGGAACAAAGCAGGACATGTACTTGTCAGTGAACTTGGGCTTGGTTCAGAAAAATTGGTCCTCTTTCTTAAGGATGGGAAACTCACCCTGAGTCTCTCTCAGCAAGGGCAGTCCTTGAGGAACATCACGGCAGGTAATGTGCATCCCCAAACCTCACTATGAACCAGCTCTTTGCATCTTTCTGCAGTAAGTCAGTAACTTGAGGAATGAGATGCTCGGTGTTTCTATTTGGAGATGGGCTTGAGCTCCCCTTTCACATTGCACTATGCTGTCTGTATGTGCAACATGCAGTCACTACTGCAGTAATCTTTTCACCCAGATGTTCATATATAAATACAAGAAATACACATTTCTTCAGATAAAATCTCAATATACCTGAGAATATGTGCAACATCCTTAAGCTCTGTCTCCTGACAAACTCAGCCTCCATCCCAAATAGATGGGGGGGGGCTCACGAATCAGACCCCACATGGAAACACTTTTCTTCTTACTTCCTCTCTTCTCCTCTAGCCTTGTGTACTTTTGGTTTGGTGGGTACATATTCTATAGCACAGGAGGCAAAGATAGTCATCACTTTAACCTGAAAGGCCCCCACAAAGAGCCAGCATTCTTGTTCTTTTATTTATTAGTGGCTGATTCATTTTTCTAGTCAGTCTGTGTATCAGTCACGGTTTTCTAGAGGAATAGAAACAATGTATGTACATATTTTAAAAGGATATTTATTGGATTGGCTTAATGATTGGAAGCTGGGTAGGCTAACAATGGTCGAATGCACCCCAGAGAGACAGAAACCAAGTAACTGCTCAGTTTAAGAAGCTAGAGGTGTGCTTGCTGCAGCAGCACATAGACTACAATTGGAATGATATAGAGATTAGTATGACCCCTGCTCAAGGATGATATGTAAATTCGTGAAGTGTTCCATATTTTTAGGGAGAGCAGACTTTACTTACGATCTCTAGATAGGCTGACTAGACTCCAGTGGATGAATTTACACCGAAGGACACCTGGGTACAAATGCTTGACTGGATAGGACCTAACATATATGGCAGAATACATGAGGGGAATACATGAAGTCTGGTGGGGGGAGGCTGGGGGAGGGGGTTCTAAATTTGATTAAGAACTGCTGCATGAAATGTACAAAAGTCAATGAAATTTCTTTTTTTTAAAAAAGCTAGAAGTTTCCATAATACAGTTTGACACTGGAGACATGCTCTCTGGAGGGTTTCTGATGTTGAGTTTGTAACAGAAGCTAGAGTCAGCTGTCCATGCACAAAGCCTGCAGGGGCAAAAGAGAGGCACTCGTGCAGCAAGAATTGGAACTCTAGGGCCTGGAGAGATAGTTCGGTGGCTAAGAGCACTTGCTTGCAGAGGACCCAAATTCAGTTCCCAGTACCCACATGGCAGCAGAAGCCCTGCTGTAACTACAGTTTCAGGGGATCTGATGTCCTCTTCTGGCCTCCTCAGGCATTGCATGCATGTGATACATTTAACAAACATGCAGACAAAATATTCATATACCTAAAATAAAAATAAATAAGAAAGGATTGGAACTCGCATGCCTACACTGGCTTCTTCCTCCTCCAGCTGTCTTTATCCCACCTCCAACCCACTCTGTGGTGCCACCCAGACTCAGAGAGTCTCCCGATCACTGTCCTACATCCCAATCCTCTGGAAATATATGCAAAGGCAAAATCAGAGGCTCAATTCACCAGTCCTCAGCATCCTTCAATCTTGTCACGTTGTCAAATCTTAGTTTTTATTCTTCTGTTACTATGATAAAATACACAGACAAAAGCAGGGAGAATGAATTTATTTAGCTCAAAGCTCCGGGTTACAGTCCGTTAGTAGAGGGAAGTGAAGGCGGCAGGAACTGAAAGCAGCTGTTCACTTTACACCAACAGTCACTGGCAGAGAGCAGTGAATTCATGTATATGTGCCAGAGCTCTGCTGTCACTTTCATTCAGTCCAGGATCCAGCCCATGCAATGGTGCCATCCACACTGAGGATGGGCCTTCCCATCTCAATTAAACCAATGAAGAAGATCCCTTACAGACATGACAGCAGGCCAACCTAATCTAGACAATTTCTATTTGAGATTCCCTTCTCTGGTGATTCTAGACTGTGTGCAGTTGAAAGTTTAAACAAGCTATCAAAACAACCAAGACCAAACATCACAGCTGGCACCAGGGTAGTACTAGATTCTAGACTGTGCAGTTGACAATTTAAACAAGCCATCAAAACAACCAAGACCAAACATCACGGCTGGCACCAGGGTAGAATCTCAGCTCCACTGCTTACTGCCCTTCTGGTTGAAAATCACAGGACCTCTTCAGCCTTCACTGTCTTCACTTAGGCAATGGTAAACCTTAATTAGGTCTTCTCTTCAAGGAGAACACAAGCAAGGAAACCCAACTTAATCAGCAGGCTGGCTCCCCTCATACAGACCCTGTTTTGTTCCCATCTCTCAAGTATCTGTTTTTCTTGGACAGATCCTTTGCCTGTTGGCTTAAGAGCTCAAATCTCCATGACATCTCCTTGACCAGCTCTATGGTGTGAGCAAGTGTGTTGATTATAGAGTTGATTGAAAGTTTTTATTGCATTTACAAATTTAGGACAAAATCTGAGTCATAAATCGGCATCATGTCAAAATTGGTATCCAAACTGAATAGGAGCTTTCCTTAGACTAGTGTGGGAAAGAAGAAAGGATGAAGGAAGCAGACACATTGCTTGAGACCAGGTGATTGTCATACCCTGTGGTGATTTGAATGATAATGTCCTCCATAGGCTCCAAGTGTTTGAGCATTTCATCCCCAGTTGATGGCACTGTTTTGGGAGGTCTTAAAAGGTATGGACATGGTGAAGGATGCACATCACTGGGGACAAGCTTAGAGAGTCCTTAAGCCTTGCTGGATCTCAAATCTCTCTCTTGCTTCCTGTGCCTACCTGAAGATGTGAGAGCTTAACTTCCATTACCACTCCAGCCACTTCTGCTGCCATGCCTACCTGCCATGATGGACCCTTGCCCCTTTGGAACTTTAAGCTAAATAAGCTCTTCCTTTTATAAGTTCCCATTGGTCATGATATTTCTATCTACTGTGGGCAGAATTCAGCCAGACTCTTTGATAAAATATCACAATTGCTGCTTAAGTCCTTATTTCCCTCTGAACTATATTGCTCTCAGCACTGCTTTCTTCCAGGCACCTACTAAGGTGGCCTGTTAAGCTCTGCTTACAACAAGCATTTCTCTAGGCTAAAATTCCAAAGTCTTCCATATTCCTCTAAAACTCCACATGGTCAGGTTCTTCACAGCCAACACCCCACTCCTGGTACCAATTTCTGTTCTAGTTTGTTTCTCCATTCCTATGACATAATACTCTGACCACTAACTTGGGGAGGAAAGGTTTATTTGTCTTATATCTCCTGGGTCACAATTCATCAGGCACAGGTAGGAACTCAGGGAAGGAACCTGGAGGCAGGAGCTGGAACACAGGCCATGGAGGAATGCTTCTTACTGACTTGCTCCCCTGGCCTATGCTCAGCCTGCTTTCTTATACAATACAGACAAGCTGCCCAGGGGTGGCACCACTCACAGTGGGCTGGACCCTTCCACATCACTCAAAAATCACTCCACAGACATGGCCACAGGCTAGTCCAATGGAGGCAATTCTCCAATTGAGAATCCCAGGTGTGTTAAGTTGACAATTAAAGCTATCCAGCATATACCCCCAAAAAGGAGAGTCCTTTTGGCTACAGAGTCACATGATTAGACTACCATTGAATATTGTTTTTTAAAGTAGGATTTCAAGGCCTATGAAGACCTGTTGGGAGGGTAGGGCCTTAGTTCTATCATTACTTTTGGGATAATCCAGCAAGCCTAAATGTGAGACTGTTTACTCACTTCAGCTCCCAAGTAAATTATGAACAATAAAGCAGTTACTTCCTGTTTTCTCCCCGGTAGGATTGCCTCCCTGATTAAAATATACATACGATATGGATATACTGTTTGTGTACATATAAAATATGCACATACAATGCTAGATACACATACAATGGGAACTCATAAAACATTTTGTTTCACTCCATTAATCAAAAAAGAAACCAGTGTTGGAAAAACAAAGATAAAAATTACATGCTTACTTAAGTGAATCCCTTTCACAAGGTAGACAAAAATGAAATAGTTTTATTACTGGATAAGTACTGGGAGGTGTCTTAAGCAGTTATTATTGAGATCACAAAGACATGGAGAAGGAAGACATCTCATCCTCATCTTTTTAAAATTTACTTTTATTTTTTCATTCATGTGTATGTGTGTATGTCTATGAGTGCTGTGTGTATATAGTACCCTTGGAGGCCAAGAGAGAGCATTGGATCCCCTGTTGATAGAGTTACAGGTAGTTTGAGCTCCGATGGAGGTGTTGGGAATGGAACTCAAATCCTCTGTCAGAGCAGTTAAGTGAGCCATCTCTCCAGTCCCAACATCTCTTCCATTTAGCCCATTACATACATGTCCTCAATTCAAAAGAGAAGGTGTCTTCAGTAGGAGGATTTCATTGTATCATTTGCTACCCATAGTCCACACTAAATTTTTCCCTGGTAATTGGAAAGGAGATATGCAATAGCTCATTGTCTTTGTCCAGAGGAAAACCAAAAGTCCTCACGTGTCTTTGGCATACAGGTAGTTACACCCTTAGGTATACCTAACCTCAAGTCCCACAGAGGAATGCTGGATTCTTTGATGTCTATATTTCAAAGAAATGTCCTTAGAACCTCAAGAAAAAATATGTTCCTGGTTCATAAAAGTATAAGAGTCTAAATCAAAATGTTGGCAAGATTTAAGGAGTATTTTTTAAAAGCTGTTTTAAGATTAAGTAAAAATTTTAAAGAATTTTCATATACTTCAAAGAGATATAGAAAGAATTTATAAGTTTTCTAGAGAAAATGCTGCAAGAACAAAGAAAAGATCTCCAGCATTAAGGGAGGTGGATTTTTGTGTGCTTGGTTTTACATCTGTGTTTACTTCTCTTTACACTAGAAAAGCCAGTGCAAAAAGAGGTTTCTAGGTGTTATACACTTGTAGAGAAAAAGCAATGCTGAAATGAAATTACAAACCAATGTGAACCTAGCACAACATGCGGATATCCACAGGAAGAGGGAAATTGGCACTCCCTCCCTATACAGGCTGTGGGCTCTGGGGCTATGGGAGAGCATGAGTCATATCACTGTTGGTTTTCTACCAGTTCATTTCTTTCATTTCATGGCTGAAAAACAACCTTGTCAAAAAGAAAGTTCCATAACCTTATAAAATCAGATTTTCCTGCCCTTGAGAACATAGATACCCAGTGATCTCTTTTGTCCACTTCAAAGACTGTTCATTTTTTTCTTACAGTTAAACATGATCACTGATGTGTTCCATGTACCTTGGTGCAATGCAGTGCTGATCAAGCATTTTCCACAGTTCTTGTTTGCACAATAAATATAATTAAATCTAATAAAAGTTCTTAAATCAGCCCACATTGTGCTTTAGCTCATAGCTTTGTAAGACTGATATTTTGCCTCTGAATTTAAGATGCTGTAGTTCTTGACAAGAGAGCATATGAAAAAAAAGTTTAAAATAATGCCTGTTAGAGACAATTGTTTAATTAATTGAATATTTCTAATGAAAGTGTTTATGGATTCTACTGTTTTCTTGTTTATATAGGAGGGGGATGGAAAGATGACTCAGTGGTTAAGAGTGCTTATATATGATCTTGCAGAGGACTGGAGTTCAGTTCCTAGCAGCCACTTGGAGCAGCTTACAACCACCTGTGACTTCAGCTCTATAGAATTCAATACCCTCTTCAGGCTTTCTGAGGCACCTGCATGCACATGCACCTACATACATGCAGACACATAAACAAAATAAACAATATTTTGAAAATATAGCAAAAG